GCCGGAATCCGCTTCGACAAGTCGCGGCGGAATCCGCTTCGATAAGTCGCGGCGGAATCCGCTTCGACAAGTCGCGGTGGAATCTGTGGCGAGAAGTCGCGGCAGAATCTGTGGCTAAAAGTCGCGACTGAGGACGACCGAATATAGGTACTTTTTAGCTTAATGCGAGCAGACCCCGACAACAATATGAATGCGAAGCCGGTTGGTATATTATTAGAAATGTTTATTAGAAAAATAGCATTACAGAAATCTTTAAAAAAATCTTGTGCCAGTGTATCCACAGCGTCTGCACTACAACAAATTACTACAAGTTTGTAGTGTTAATGGTCGGGAAGAATATGGATTCTAAAGAATCTCTCTTGAAATTTTACCGAGGATGTTTTAAATAACTATTCAATTTTAAAGTTATTTTCAACTTTCGGCCAATTGGTTGTTATTTTAAGAATGGTGCTGTTATTAGGTGGCTGTCACTGTACCATTATCCACAATCAAGCATTCGCATTACACACAGCAATCTCTCGAGCAATGGACTGCTTCCCTAAAGAGCGAAAGACAAGCATTATCTGACACATGCTGTGCGCAAATTACTCCTGCATGCATGGTGGTCATATGTGTGGACGACTGGGCACGCATAATAACGAAAACTTACTATCTGTCGTCTTTACGCACACAATCGAATGGAATCGCATATTTAGTCGGAATGAAATTGAAATCATCGTCACGGTTAACACAACAAGTGGGAGAGAATTTCTTCACACTTTGTAATCCACTACGTGCAGTATTAACTGCCATGTTGACCTAGACTTTCATTATAATTGCTTTCGTTCGCAACACATAGTCTCCTATCCTCGTTTCACTTCAGCGATGACCAATCCCGATTCTGGATCCAAACTGAGTTTTTCTTCCCCTCAAAAGGCTATCGTTATTGTTGGGCCTCCTCCGCTCATAGGCATACCATGATTTACCTTCTCACACACAAAGGATCTGTCCGTCCTGTCGCGTCAACCAGTTTAATCTGAAATTGTTTCTCAGGAACTCACAAATTCACAAAACAGGTTTCATACTGAACAAGTTTTAACGATCATTCCGAAAATATGTCCCATCTTCAGATTAATATTGCAAAACCCTTAAAAATTACTATTCTTCGCCTTTTTTATAGCTGGTTCATACCGTCTGCACAGCGTTCAAGTCTCAGCTCACACGCGATACCAAGTTTATCGCTCTTGACTGTCGGAGGCCCTTATATATTCCGGCAACTTTTTGATCCACAGTCTTCGACCTACACCTATTTACTTGGCGATGCACAGTCCCGTGAGGCGCTTATTATTGATCCGGTTCTCGAAAAAGCGGAAAGAGATATCGATCTGGTTCGTCCGAATTACCAATCCTAATTTGAATTGTTGAGGTCTACAACTTGCTTAACTGAAGCCGCTGTCAAGTGATGTGGCTAGTTATATCAAGTGGAAAAAATATATTGCAGAATTGCTTGCGGTGTTAACACCTTGTAAATGAATCCTATGCTACTCCAAGGTTTACCGGAAGATTAACTAACTGGCCCACTTAGTACTTTTTAGAGTAATTAGTATCATTATTAAGAGGACACCTACTCTTAACCAACCACAACGTTTATATGAGTCAGTGTGCTATCGCTACGTTTCAGAGCTATTTAAGTATCCCGGTTAAATGCAGCCGACCACAGAACTGGTTGCAAAATTCTGTTACAAAGAGGTGTAATCGGCTTTCAATTACTGATAGTTCGTAAAATAAGCTTTTTTGTTTCAATTTTATACTTGTGCTCTAGCACAAAGCTCGAAAGCAAAAGCAGCGATTACGATGGTTGCCTTTCCAAACCACAATGAAACTAGCGCACTTATCCTTCTAGAAGAATCAATTAGCTTGGCTTTCCCGTGACCTGGAATTTCTACTGATCACAATTATGCGTCCTTGGGTATAGACATGGGCTTGAAAAATCCTTTTTTAAGTTCTTTTGTCTGAGTAAAAATTTAAACAAAGATTATTTAAGGAAGCTCCTGGGCAGATCCATCTGAAATCGGGAAGAACGCGCTTTTCGGGCGTAAAATTTTCTCTTTATGTGAGTTCGCAATTGAATACTTCCTGTGATCTTCTCTTTCTGCAACGCCACTTGATTTCACTTCCTGGAAATTATAGTCTGCATAGGATACAACCATTTGAACCCTTTTTGGGTCAGCACTTATCTCTTCATCATCGCCACTTTTGAGACATCAGCACGGACACTTGATAGCCCCTGAAGAGGCCACGCGCCTCATAACGACCACCTGAGATTTCCTTCCCTTGACCCGGTAAGATAGAGTAGTATGTTTACCTTATATCAGAAGTAAACAGTGTGAGTTTGGGTTAGGGTATTTTCTTGATAATCTGCACAACCTCACGGCTTGCATAATTTGGTTGGGTTCTTCATACTATGTGCAGACAATATAGCTTTCTTTTAAATATTTCTCTCCACTCAGTTAGACACAGCTGTTTGTGTGTGCGTTTACTTTCAGTAAAACGTACTCCCCTAAACCTCTTGCATTTTGGTCGCAGGCCAAAGTCACTGCGCGGGAGATGAGAGAAAGCGCAGCGGTTGAAATTAACCGGTCCGCTGCGACAGTGTGGCGTTAAAACAAAACTCACTTGTCCAACTAAGCTGGCACATATTGCGAGTCTGAAACCCATGCGACTTAGTGAGTCCTGCTGTTGACAACGCTTCAGAAAAGGAAGATGCAATCACCAGAACATGGCATTTATTGGCGTAAGGTTTTCAGATACTCGTTTGAACCCATTGTCAGAAGCAGTCGTTGTTGGAGTTGATGAGGGCGCCAGGGCTGCAGTTTCTAAGTTTATCAGATCCCATTTTCATCACTTGTGGTCGTACGTGACGCGATAAATGGCCGTTGGTCCGCGTTTGAGTCGTTAATTTATTACCGTTTTCGATTCTTGGTCTGCGGATGACTCGGCAATATGGCTCTCAGTCACTAGAAGGTTTTTTCGTTCGCGTGGTTAAGTGTTCTTTCTAGGCCATTTTTGGACAGACAAAATGGGGCCCTGACGTCATTGCGGGCCAGACAACCAGGACCCATGCAGTTCACGGATCACTCGGTTGTCAGCTATTGTCAGCATTTCGACCTCGTAAAGGTACGGCCAAGTCCGGTCGCGGGAGCCGATCGAAGCACATCGCGCCGGAAAAGATTGCTGATAGAAGCGAACAGGCGAGTTCCAACGAGCAGTTCAGAGGTAGAGGAGGAAGCGATCGATGAGTCAGATGCAGACTAATAAACAATAATCACGTCGTGTATCACCACCAACAATAAATGTGGGATCTACTAATGGGATTAAGAGCGTGGCAACTACATCCTATTATTACTGCACGCCTAGCATCCACATCCTCTCTATCTGCGACTGTCTCTGATGATGGAATTAAGTGAGAATCCGAAACGCGATGGCATTTTCTTTTTCCCCGGAACTGCCTCTCGGATTTCGCTTATTCCCTCCCGTCAGCAGACGTCTACAGCACCGTGAGGTGGATGAGTTCGAGGGCGGCACTCCTGATGCTTCCAGTCCCTTTTCAGGTGAAATCTCTAGACCTGCGTCTACTCTACGCCATCAACACTCATTGCCACGCAGATCACGTGACTGGCACGTACAAGTTGAAGCAAGGGATCAAGGGCTGTCGGAGCGTTATCTCTGCCCTGTCTAAGGCGAAGGCCGACGTGTTCTTCAAAGATGGCGATACCATCCACTGTGGAAGCATTGAGTTGGAATGTCGAAGCACGCCAGGTGAGTTCTTTTAACGGAGTGTGCGAAACGCTTGAGTTCCCTGTTGAAGGCGATTTCTTTCATGACTTCTGCGTCCTGTGTGTTTAGTGAGATTCTAGGCTTCGAAGCACTTTACCCGCCTTATTAATTATTTCATGTTCTTGCTACCTAAGAGCTTTAAGGTGGGTCAAATCTTGGAAGAACAGGCTAACTGGACTCCGGGTTTAGTGGCAGATTAGGTACGAATACCACTACAAGCAAAAATGCGAGCCCGCGGAAGTAATTAAGCAGAAGAAGATTTGGTCGCTGAAAGAAGCCTTTTATCTGCCTGACCTTTCGAAAGACCTGCCCAATCCATATTCGGTGGTAAGGCTTAACATGGCTAAAGCAAGTCGCCACTTGGGGAACGAACGTGCTACCACTTCATGTGACACCAGCGGCGGGGAACCATATGGCCGAGCATTCATCACGTCCAATTCCACCGCGTGTGGAGAAAGTTCGGCAGGTCACGGCCCGCACGCCTGTCACCAAGCCATTAGCGCACAAGCGGGCACTTATCATCGACAGGCGAGTCGTTAATTACCAGAAATGTGCAGTAGTGACTGTATCTTATAAATACCGCAACTTCCTGTGCATTGATCACCCGTTTCTGCTACTGTTTACCTTACTGTCTCTGATGAAGGGTCCGCGACCGATTTAGAAACATCAGGCGAATAAAAGGCTTGTCCCAGCAATCACATCGTAGTCTTCTTCCTCTTAAGCAATAAGGGCTTCCATGGCTCCGTAAGCGGAACTTCTGAAGAGGAACCGCCTGCAATAATATATTTATGCGCCAAGTTCCAGGAAAAGGGTACATCAAGATTGAGATGGGACTTACTGCTAACTATAGGGTTACGCTTTAGGTTGGTGATTCGGTTGATGTTAGGTTAAGGACGGCCATATTGCGACCGTGTGTAGTAACATACAAGTAGCGTATTCCTTAGTTTCGTTCTCGAAGCCAAGATTTTATGGTGATTACTGCATTGAGCAGTTTGATGTGTTTGATATCTGTTGTCAGGTTTCTTGGACTACATCGGGCTCGTAGAGTATATGAGCAGGCGGCTTGTTCAAGCCTTAAGGCCCATGCGCTGGTTTCAGGCTTATTAGCTTAAGTTGTTGTTTAGTGACTTTGGTGGTCAGACGCTACAGACGCTCGAAAGAGATTTGTATCAGTCTACCCGCAAAATCCGTTATCCCCCATGCTATGTAGACATACTGATCTAAAGCATGTTCCCTAAGGTACACAGCTAGGAAATATTAGTTGCTGCCTCTGTAGTTTCCGCCCTCGTCCCCGCATGCTGGCGAGCAGTACCGTGAACTAGTGTAAAGTCGACTGAAGGATTAATGTCGGAATTGCTGTGAATTAATTTGCAAGTGCCCATTATTCTCTTTTTAGTCTCGACAACAAGAGTTTATAATGAATACCACAAAAACTGGTTGGACAATTAACATTGACATCCTTTTGGAACCACATTCGATTCGTGGACTAAACAATCTGGCGGCTTAAGTAAAACTTTGGGCTCATGGCTGGGATTCGTTTATTTAATTATATGGAGCAGTAAACAGGAGGTGCCCTACCCCCGTCCTCGATCCGTTATGGACCTTTGAGGTGCCTGTTAGGAGGGAAATTATGTGCCAGTCGTTGATAATGCCTCCGCTTCCCGTCGAGTGCCCCAGGCTCCCATCGTTTGAAGTCCTTAAAAGCTATATGCTATCTCGGTGGTTTGTCGGAAAAGTTCATGGGAACATTTAATGGGAATAACTGTGGGAAGAAGCCAAATGCCAGGCGCCTGCGGTCTAAACCATGTTACTGTTGCATTCAAAAAAATTGGTGAACTATTTAACAAATGCGAAAGAAGTCTCGCGCACAGATTGATATGACAAATTGACTGCAGTACATACATGGAAAGGTCTTACCGATCAACATCCGTTGTTATTCACCGGATCGAATCTAGTTAAGGAGAAGCCTCGTAACAAGTCCAATCGAGATGGGAGGGGACTGAAGGGCTCTAAGGTCAAGTTTCTTCCGGAGATGCTAATGCGGGGGGGGGCGGTGACCTACTCGAAAAACGTGCAATGGTCTCAAAACCTATCATAATAAGAAACTCCTTTTCACACCAAAAAGAAAATTCTTATTTGAATAG